TCTCTGGAGAAATGTCTATTTAGGTCTTCTGTCCATTTTTTAAATTGTGTTGTTTGTTTTTGGTATTGAATTGTTTGAACTCTTTGTATATTTTGGAAATTAAATCCTTGTCACACACAGATATTTTTTAAAAAATATATATGTATTTATTTTTGGTTGTGCTGGGTCTTCACTGCTGAGCATGGGCTTTCTTTAGCTGGGGTGAGTGGGGGCTACTCTCTTGTTGCGATGTGCAGGCTTCTCACTGGAGTGGCTTTTCTTGTTGTGGAGCACAGGCTCTCAGGCTTGTGGGCTTCAGTAGTTGTGGTGCCTGGGCTTAGTTGCATCATGGCATGTGGGAGCTTCCAGGACCAGGGATTGAACTCATGTTCCTGCATTGGCAGGTGGATTCTTAACCAATGGACCAGCAGCAAAGTCCCACAGAGCTCTTTTTTTTTTTTTTTTTTTTTTGCTCTTTTTAATATCACCTTTCCTTACCTGTTAAACAGACACTAGCCATGTGGACTAAAGTTATTTAACACTTTTGAGTCTCAGTTTCCTAAAATTTGAAATAGGGACAATAATACCTGTGGCCAAGGATTAAATTCTATGAGGAGTGTAACCCAGATGTCAAGTAGGGTCTCTCTGCCCCTGAAAATCCTGATTATTAATGGATTTTATGGATTATCATTAATAGATTATACAATGCATCAGAATACTTACTGTGGAAGCCCAAAACCCTCTCTGAAACTTCTCAAAATTCCCTTAATTTTCATGCTTACCTTGGTACTAATTTTCTTCTAAATATTTTGCTTCTGCCAAAGTATTTTTTTTTAAGATTTTTAAATTGTGGGCCACCAAATTAAAAAGTCTTTATTTAATTTATTACAAATTGCTCCCATTTTATGTTTTGGTTTTTAGGCCACAAGGCATGTGAGATCTTACACCAACCAGGAATCAAACATGAATCCCCTCCATTGGAAGGCGAAGTCTCAACAACTAGACTGCCAGGAAAGTCCCTGCCAAAATATTTTGATCCAGCTTTGCTTTTTGTGGCTATTTTTTCATAACTGCTGTTTTCCCAAACTAAGGAAGCCACCCCTTCACCTTAAACCCCTCCTTCAAAGCAACCTGAATACTGGTCTGTGTTTGCAGTAGAATATTTGCAGTGACAGTGATAGTCACTCAGTCATGTCTGATTCTGCTACTCCATGGACTGTAGCCCGCCAGACTCCTCTGTCCATGGGATTCTCCAGACAAGAATACTGGAGTGGGTTGCCATTCCCTTCTCCAGGGGATCTTCCCAACCCGGGGATCGAAACTGGGTCTCCCGCACTGCAAGTGGATTCTTTACCATATGAACCACAGGGAAGCCCAGAATGATTACAGGTTTGTGTAATGCTGGGGGAATCATACCATTTAATATACACATTGATCCTAACAGGCTGGGATGCTCCTACAGAGTTCTTGCTTCTCACTACTTTTCTATTTTCATTCCTCTCTATCTTCATTACCTTCCCTCTTTTTCTTTGTCACACCCTCACAGGAGCAAAGAAAACTAACTTCCCTGCATTATTTTTTATGCACAGCAGCCTCATTATATATTACCACTGCTCAAGTTTCTGCCAACACTGAGTCTGAATCTGAAGGGTCTCACTTTCAGCCTTAGAGGATTCCTAAGAAAAGAAACTTTTTTCCCCCAATTTTTATTTGAATGACACATAAAATGATTGGATGTAAGTAAAACAAGTTTAAAATAATAAACTTAAAAGAATCTATTACTCTGCTAGTATCACCATCATGACTACTGTTGCCGTCAGAGCTGTTTGTATTGGAAACACTACAACTTGATCTGATACGTGGAACAAGCTTCATACCAAGATGTTGAACAAACCTTTGTTGTTGCTGCTCAGTCACTCAATTGTGTCCAACTCTTTTCCACCCCGTGGACTGCAGCACACCAGGTTTCCCTGTCCCTCACCATCTCCCAGAGCTGGCTCAAACTCATGTCCATTGAGTTGGTAATGCCATCCAACCATCCTGTCCTCTGTCATCCTCTTCTCCTCCTGCCATCAATCTTTCCCAACATCAGCATCTTTTCTAATAAGTCGGCTCTTCACATCAGGTTGCCAAAGTATCAGAGCTTCGGCTTCAGCATCAGTCCTTCCAGTGAACATTTAGGGCTGATTTCCTTTGGGATTGACTGGTTGGATCTCCTTGTAGTCCAAGGGACTCTCAAGAGTCTTCTCCAACACCACAGTTCAAAAAGCATCAATTCTTCAGTGCTCAGCCTTCTTTATGATCCAACTCTCATATCTATACATGACTACTGGAAAAACCACAGCTTTGACTACGCGAACCTTTGTCAGCAAAGTACTGTCTCAGCTTTTTAATATGCTGTCTAGGTATAAAACTTAGTTCCATTGAAACCTTTCAGGGTCACACAGGGAAGGCTGTATCTTATGAGATGCCAAATGTCACTAGATAGACAAGACTAAGACCAAAGGAAAGTGAAAATCTCATTACTTATCCTGAAAGTTTTCCTGTCCCTTGTCATGGGTTAGGGGTTGTTTTGGTGGTGACAGCTTTTCTTTCCTGAATGTAACATGTGAACAATGTTGTTCCATGTCTGGTTCTAACTGTTGCTTCTTGACCTGCATTCAGATTTCTCAGGAGGCAGGTAAGGCAGTCTGGTAATCTCATCTCTTTAAGAATTTTCCACAGTTTGTTGTGATCCACACAGTCAAAGGCTTTAGCATAGTCAATAAAGCAGAAGTAGATAGTTTTCTGGAACTCTCTTGCTTTTTCTATGATCCAATGGATGTTGGCAATTTGATCTCTGGTTCCTCTGGCTTTTCCAAATCCAACTTGAACATCTGAAGCTCTCAGTTAACGTACCTTTGAAGCCTAGCTTGGAGAATTTTGAGCATTACTTTGCTAGTGTGGGAGATGAGTGAAACTGTGCCATAGTTTGAACATTCTTTGGCACTGCTTTTCTTTGGGACTGGAATGAAAACTGACCTTTTCCAGTCCTGTGACCACCGCTGAGTTTTCCAAATTTGCTGGCATATTAAGTGAAGCACTTTCACAGCATTGAAATAGAGAAACAAAGAGGATCAAAAAGTAGACAGACTGATCAAGCAAAAAAAAAAAAAAAAAAAGAAAAATGGTACAAATACACAAAGTTAGGAGTACCAAAAAGATATATATATGTGTATATATATATATATATATATATATAGTGATATCAAGGATGATTTTCTTTTTGACACTAAGAACTACTTTAATAAAAATATATTTGGTAAGAGTCTAACAAATTTTCTGGAAAAAATATACTTGCCAAATTTTCTATTTATTCCTAAAGAATTAAAAAACCTGAATGGTCTCCTATAATCAATAAAGAATTTGAATCTGGAGTTAAAACTTTTCCCACAAAGTAAATATCAGGCTTAGATAGTTTTACAGGTATGCTCTATCAATTAAAAAAAATATCAGACTTTTCCCAAATATATTCAACATTTTCTAGGGAGATGAAAAGAAGAGCTATCCCCCACTTATACTATACAGGCCAAAATATCCTTGACTTAAAAACCGGATAATCAGAACTGGACATGGAAAAATGGACTGGTTAAAAATTGGGAAAGGAGTATGTCAAGGCTGTATATTGTCACCCTGCTTATTTAGCCTATATGCAGAGTACATCATGATAAATGCTGGACTAGATGAAGCACAGGCTGGAATCAAGATTGCCGGGAAAAGTATCAATAACCTCAGATATGCAGATGACACCAACCTATGGCAGAAAGTGAAGAGGGACTAAAGAGCCTCTTGAAGAAAGTGAAAGAGGAGAGTGAAAAACTTGGCTTAAAACTCAACATTCAAAAAACTAAGATCATGGCATCTGGTCCCATCACTTCATGGCAAATAGATGGGGAAACAGTAGAAACAGTGGCTGAATTTATTTTGGGGGGCTCCAAAATCAGTGCAGATGGTGACTGCAGCCATGAAATTAAGAGACGCTTGCTCCTTGGAAGAAAAGTTATGACAAACCTAGACAGTGTATTAAAAAGCAGAGATATCACTTTGCTGACAAAAGTCCGTCTAGTCAAGGCTATGGCTTTTCCAGTAGTCATGTATGGATGTGACAGCTGGACTATAAAGAAGGCTGAGCGCTGAAGAATTGATGCTTTTGAACTGTGATGCTGGAGAAGACTCTTGAGAATCCCTTGGACAGCAAGGAGATCAAAGCAGTCAATCCTAAAGAAAATCAGTCCTGGATATTCATTGAAAGTCCCTGTGTGGGCAAGATCCCCTGGAGAAGGAACCCACATCTCCTGCACTGCAGGTGGTCTCCTGCATCACACTCAAATTTTTTACCACTGAGCCATCAGAGAAGTCCTGATTACAGGAATAACAGAGTACATATCAGCATGGATCCAAACCTTGCAGAGGTCTGGTTAACTACAAGATTATTCTAACATTCCTTCTTCAGGAAGGACTCTGAACAGTTCTTCTCTGAAAAAAAAAAAGTCCCAAATGTGATTAAACTAGTATTCAGGAAGCTCTCCTTTATATCTTGCTTAAATTCCTCTTGCTCTAACCTCAGTATATTTTCTGTTCTTTGGGGGAACTGAAACTTACACACAGAGGAAGCCAATATTCTAGTTACAGTTAACCCAAGATCATTTATTCTCACCAACACTTGAGAGCTTTTAAAAATTGTAACAGCATCTGGTGATGGCCCTGAATTATTCCCTCTCCAGCAAGGGTCTGCTTCTCCTGGTTAGGATTTTCATTTCTCTCAAGGGCAGTGCTGTTCTGGGCTAAGCCACTTCCCCAAAGGAGGAAAAAGATTGGGTGGGTCATCTGGAAATATTCCCTGAGGTTATAGGCCACCACTTCCCCTTCCTGCTCTATTGAAATGCAATTCCCGGGACTCTGCTGAGGACTCCCTGACCAAGTGCTCTCCAGTCCCCAGGCTGGCCCTTTCGTGTGTCAGCCTGTGACTACTCATCAGTTTCAGATTTTGCCTGTAAGAAAGTCCTGGGAAAACCTGCGGGCTGGAATCCTGACTCATGCCCACCACCCCCAGCAACAATAGCAGAGGCAAACGACCAAGATGTTGGGGCAACAGGGTGTGCTGCTATAAATGGAGATAAGTTTAACTTTCAGCTTTGTAATACTGACAAGGCACATGCCAAGAAACTCACTTTTCCTCAGAAGCAGCTTGTTTTTGCCAAATATCCTGTTCATCTGATTGAAGAGGAGATTCTCTTTGTAGTCTGAGACTCTGTCCTGACTGTGGATGCCAGCTGAACAGAATCTACCCCAGGATGAAGGACAGAGATGGGGGTGTAGAACTGAGTTGATGTTCCTTTGCTCTGGAGCATCTGGTCAATGTTGAACGATAAACCAGCAGTTAGCACAAACATTGACACACACACACTGACGCAAACATTGATTCAATTGGCTTTTTAAAAAGATAAATGTGGGATTTAAAATAATTTTTTAATTAATTTATTTTTGGCTGTGCTGGACAGCCTATTCATTGCTGCATAGGCTTTTCTCTAGTCGTGGTAAATGGAGGCTACTCTCCAGACGCTTCTCATTGTGGTGGCTCCTCTTGTTGCAGAGCATGGGCTCTAGGCATGCAGGCTTCAGTAGTTGCTGCTCGCTGCCTTAGCTGCTCCACTGCATGGGGGATCTTTCCAGATCAGGGATCGAACTCCTGAGTCCTGCATTATTAGGTGGATTCTTTACCACTGAGCCATCAGGGAAACCTGTATTCAGTTTGTTGTGCCCTTTGTTCTCTGTTACAGAGTCATAAATGTCTCTGTATTTATTGGGTTTTAGAAAATAGTGAACTTGGAATTTAAAAGGTTTGAATTTAACCCCAGGTCCTCAGCTCCCCTTGTGCCTCAGTGCTAAAGAACCCACCTGCCAATGCAGGAGAGGCAGGTTCTATCCCTGGGTCAGGAAGATCCGCTTGAGGAGGAGGAAATGGCAACCTGCTCCAGTATTCTTGCCGGGAAAATTCCAAGGACAGAGGAGCCTGGTGGGCTATGGTTCATGGGGTTGCAAAGAGTTGGACATGACTAAGCATGTGTGTATGCCTTAATTTATAGCTATGTCTATTTTCCATGGAAATGAAAATACCACCTTCAGAAGGTCTCAGCAGCTAATGTTAACCTGAAATTGCTCTTTTTTAATTTTTTAATTAGTTAATTTATTTTAATTGGAAGATAATTATTTTACAATACTGTGATAGTTTTTGCCTTATAACAACATGAATCGGCCACAGGTATATATGTGTCTCCCCCAGGTTGAACCCCTACCCCCCACACCTCTCTTTCCACCCCATCCCTTGAGTTGTCCCAGAGCACCAGCTTTGAGTGCCCTGCTTCATGCATTGAACTTTCACTAGTCATCTATTTTGCATGTGGTAATGTACATGTTTACCCTTGCCTTCTCCCACTGAGTCCAAAAGTCTGTTCTTTATATCTGTGTCTCCTTTGCTGCCCTACTTGTAAGATCATTGGTACCATCTTTCTAAATTCCATGTATATGCATTAATATGCAGTATTTGTCTTTCTCTTTCTGACTGACTTCACTGTATAATAGGCTCGAGTTTCATCCACCTCATTAGAACTGACTTAAACAGGTTCCTTTTTGTAACTGAGTAATATTTCATGTGTATACAGACCACTGCTTCCTTATCCACTTATCTGCTGATGGACAGCTCGGTTGTTTCCAAGTCCTAGTTAATGTAAATAGTGCTACAATGAACATTGGGCTACATGTGTCTCTTCCAGTTCTGGTTTCCTAGGGGCATATGCCCAGCAGTGGGATTGCTGTTGGACACCCAAAATATCCTACCCTCAGAAACTCTAATACAGGGCTATTTTGTTATTCTTATCAACTGTAAAGTACACTGTGATACCTCCTGCAGTGTGTATTCCAGGAAACACCATTTATGTTGTATTCCACATGAATCATGCCCCTTTGGGTTATACACAGTGTAATACTTTGGACACTATAATGTGACATTTGTTCAAGAAATAGTTACTCTATCGTTAAGCTAACACAATTGTCTCAAATACACATAGCAATGTTGCAAGAAGAAATTACCATCTCCATTTTACAAATGGGAAGTCAGGGTTAGTAAAGCTTATTATGTTGACCTCTCTCCCCCTCTAAGAAAGTCAATAGTTAAGGATGAAGAAACAGAGTTTTGAAATCTGTTTGATCCTAAAATGTGGGTTTTCCCCACTACTCTATGAATATTGAATACCTTAGCAGTAAATAGGTAATCCTTCACCAATTCAACAGATTCTTATTGAATGCTATTAAAAATAACAGTAAAGAATTATTGACATGCACTAGGTATACCAGCCTGAAGATAAATTGGGAAACAAGACCAACGTTGTCCATGCATGCATGGAGCTTTCTGGAAATGAAACATTAGGCAAAGAAGTCAACAGCTAATACATTTGGGTTTCATATGTGACATACCTTGTTCAATGTGTTTTCAGATCAGTTCAGTAGCTTAGTCGTGTCCAGCTCTTTGTGACTCCATGAACTGCAGCACACCAGGCCTCCCTATCCATCACCAACTCCCGGAGTTTACTCAAACTCATGTCCATTGAGTCGGTAACGCCATCCAACCATCTCATCCTCTGTCATCCCCTTCTCCTCCCGCCTTCAATCTTTCCCAGCATCAGGGTCTTTTCAAATGAGTCAGCTCTTCGCATCATGTGGCCAAAGTATTGGAGTTTCAGCTTCAACATCAGTCCCTCCAATGAACACCTAGGACTGATCGCCTTTAGGATGGACTGGTTGGATCTCCTTGCAGTCCAAAGGACTCTCAAGAGACTTCTCCAACACCACTGTTCAAAAGCATCAATTCTTCTGTGCTCAGCTTTCTTTACAGTACAACTCTCACATCCATACATTACTACTGGAAAAACCATAGCCTTGACTAGACGGACCTTTGTTGGCAAAGTAATGACTCTGCTTTTTAATATGCTATCTAGGTTGGTCATAACTTTCCTTCCAAGGAAAGTCTTTTAATTTCATGGCTGCAATCACCA